TTCAGACACTCTAGACTCTGGACTAGACTCTAGACTCTAGACTCTAGACTCCTCTCTAGACTCTAGACTTTATCCAGGACTCCGGACTCAGGACAGTAGGCTGTGGACGCTAGACTCTAGACTCTAGACTCCAGGCTCTAGCGTCAAGAATTCTGAAATCTAAATAATCACCGTGACTTAACCTGAGCCTGAAATGAAATAATGAAAATGAAATCGGAACCTAGTAGCCTTCGCCTGAACCCAGTCGTTCAGGCTCGTGGTCGCCTCTGTGCAGAAGCCCGATGTGTAGGCGGTCAACAGTGCGTCGACTTTTGTCTCCCCATGGGTGTCCCCGTCCATCATCAGGTGGCTGACCAGCGTCACCGAATCATCTGTCGAGAAATCAGCCAGAAGCCGCCCGGAGCGAACCATCAGACCCAAGGCAGTGATCCTGCCCTCCGATGTAGCTGCATCGGACCTCCACTCTTGCTTTGCAATGCCTGCCGGATCCAAGTTATCTGGCAAATTACACGCAACGCAACACCATTTGCATGCTACGTGGCCAAAGGTGTTGGGTCGTCGGTTAGGGGAAACCCGTAAACCTGGACATTCATGCCAGCCTAGCCAGCAGTTGAGTGTAACCACGATCTAGTGAACGAGTCCAACGACTAGCGTCCCGTGACACGCGACAAGCCACTCCCTGTAGCTACGTGCATCTACATTTAAACCGTCTGAACTACCAAATAATCCTAAGGGGCTCATCCGGGAGAGTCTCGAATTCAAGAGTCTAGAAACCAGAGTCGCGTCTCTGGACTCTAGAGTCTAGAGTCTAGAGACACTTCCGGTCGGAGAAATTAACTGAGTGGCCATTGCTGCTTGATTACCTGAGCCTCGAGTACCCCCCTCCCGCTTAATCACCCTGGAGTCACTCTATTGGTGTTGATGGGATTCCTGATTTCCTAGATCTATAAACACTACTATTATACGTATACTAGTATACAATATACAGTATACAAGTATACAGTATACTAGTATACAGATTGAATTATCAAGTGTTGCGCGAGTCGCTAGTCACTATTCACTGAAACATCTTTCTAGATTCGTTTGGTTTGATTAGTTTGATTAATTGAATTAATTGATTGGAACCTTGGAAACTGTATGTGTCGCAGTGTTGCAAGTTCAAGTTTCATGTGTATCACAGCGGGATTTCGTGAGTTACTTAGGTTACTCTCGACTCTCGACTCTCGACTAAGACTTAGACTAAAACTAAATGATTCTCAAGAGTCAAGAGTCAACAGACTTGACTTGACCGACTAAACTTCGAGGAATAGTACTAACATGTTCGGAGCGAAGAGTTATTGCAGACCAGGCGTCTACCAGCAATCAGCGCGTCTCCGATCGTAATCGTCTTGATCATCGGCTCTCGGCGCGCATCGTCGAGTGAGAGCGACGATATCCACAATTTCATCTTCTCCATCTCCTCCACACAAGAGCCGACCGCCTCGCCCACAAGTATGCTCCGCAAGGTCTTGCCCACGTGCTTGCAAGCGTCCTTGATGAAGCCATCAGACACATCGCTCCGCATCTCGCTAATGGCGGCACCCAGCTTCTTGAGAGCGTCCACGATGGTTTCGGTGACCTTATCGGGCTCATCTATCTCGACACACTTGGCCCATGCCGGTAACAGATCCTTAGTTGTGTAACAGGGTTGTGTTTAGGGCTGCCGACTCAATGAGTTTGAAGGGCCAGATTTATTCTTTCTTGTTTTTTATTGTTAATTTTAAATTTTTAATCACGATCTATATTATCTATATGAACCTATATTATATATATATAACTTTTAATTCATAACGATGTATACCGTCCCGCAACTTTGTTCAATCCGAGCTGCTGATATCTGAATCAAGTAAGCCCAGCAAACGAATCATGGAATTATGGTAGTTATCATTTAGCTACCTGGACTCCCGTCCTATGAAGCTAGAGTCAGTTGTCAAACCCATTAAAAAATCTCAGATGTGAAGGGCTGTACTATGTGAGTGACAATAATGAGTAGAGTCGAGTCTAAAGCTAAAGCAACTCCCACAACATTATACTAATAGATTGAAAGTTGAAAGTATAGTACTGGTACTAGTATTAGCATTCGTATCAGTATGAGTCTTAGTGCTAGTATTGGTATAGGATAGAATCACATAGAAACAACAGAACAGAACAACCTACACACCATAGTAATAACTACAAACCACAGCTAGCAGCAGCAGTAACAACAACGATTAACCATCAATCTACTACAACAAGAACTGGTAAACTTTATAAATTTATAAATATAATATAGTATAACTTTGATGCTGTATTATGTTTATAAAGTTCACCAGTTCTTGTTTTGTAGATTGATTTATGCTGGATAGCTTGTATCTGATAGTGTAGTTAGTGCACAATGCAAACTTCAGTGCAAACTCAGTGCAAACCAATGTCGGTGATCTCCTGAAGTTTGGCGGTCATAGAATCCACAGGCGGCGTCAACTCCTTAACGCCGGCCGACTTGCCCTTGACTTTGACACTCACTTTGCTGATGTCTGCACAGGCATCCAACATTCCCTTGAACGGCTCAAACTCCGAGCTGTCACACACGGCCGCCATCCCATGCCACGTTTCTACGGGTGGCTCGATCAGAATCTTGTCGTTTGCCAGCGTGTCCACTGCTTGAACAGCCCACGGCAGCACCTGCAATCTTGGCTCTTGAGAATCTGGAAACACTATGGAACCATGACTATTATACCTATTACCTATTACCATAACTATAACAGATAACGGATGGCATAATCTAACATACTCCGACCCGAAACCGGAACTATGCATGGGTCTTAAGCTGAAGTGACTGAAGTGTTAAAGGTTCAAACAAAAACGACTGCACTCTTCACAGTTTACAGTCCTACACGTCCAGGAATCGCAATCGAATTAGAGTCGGAATGCATTAAATTATTGTCATTATCATTAGTTGAGTGTTTAGGTTTTGCGTTGTGTGTCTTGAGCTTCAGGTTTACAGGTCTGGGGTTTAGAGTTCAGAGTCTAGAGCTTTAAAGCTTTAACTTTAAAGTTTAAAATTTAAATTTTAGAGTTGATTAGATGATTATAATATTTTTTTTGAAAGTTTACAGAAGTCTACAGCTTGGCCATAGGGGCGGTGAGACCTAAAGCGCGGAACCCGGACCTTGAAAAATCATTCATTCCAAATTTCACCTGACCTCAGGATACTGAAGTTGCAACCTGGAATCAGAAACTTGGAACATAATCGAACAACCTAACCAAACATACCCAATCAATCAGGCTGCCTCGATCTGCAACACATGGAAAATGGTCTCTCGGGTGTGCTGGGCGAGCACAACGGTCTTGTCCGCGAGCTCTGGTTTCCCCACTGACTTAGCCGTCGCTTTGTCTGCTTGGATAGCACCCAGGCTTGTCCGCATAGAGCGAAGCAGTGTGCACCTGCATCCATAGCTTATACTAATACACAGCTTGGACTGTGGTTTGACTCTTTGACTAAGCTCACGACGCACAATACTCGCGAGTCCCTAAACCCTAAACCCCTAAACCCCTAAACCCTAAACGGCCCTAATTAAACCTTAAACCGCCCTAAACCATTCGACTCGATGTGTTCCAATGGACCGGTAATTTGCTAGTGTTAAGTTTGTTAAGTTAAATTAAGTTACGTTAAGTAGGAAACCCGCCTGTGTACCAGCTGTTCTGGCGTCATAGATCCTGCTGGTGCAGCGTTGAGCTCATCACAAACCTTCTGCAACTCGTCCCATTTGCCTGTCTGCTCCTTGCGCTTGATGTAGAGCGCATTGGCGTCCCCAATCAAGCGCTGTCCAAGCGGTGTACCGACCATGGAAGCCGCCAGCACGAAAGCTTTTTTTGTCCTCGACTGATTTTATTTGTGCAATATTGAACTGTCATCATATGAATAGTTAAGTCTGTGATAATTATATATATATAATTATATTATATTATATTATATATTATATTATATATACATATCTTATGGTTATCTTATAGTCTAATAAGAATCAGAATATATTTATATGATATATGTCTATATTCATATGATATGTACATACGTGAAACTACAACTAACCACTGCAACAACAACCATAATATAATATAATTAGCAGTCTAGCTATAACTATGTAAATTTTACAAATAGTCAATCACAGCGTGCTGTATGGGTCAATGGGTAACATTTCACATTCAGACTTTAGCTACTCGGTTCGGTTATTCCTAGACGAGGCCATGAGGTCCGCATAGCCTGCATTATATAGTTACTTACATTTACA